CGAAAACGGAGATGAGTCGATTTTCGCGTAGAAAGCCATAGGGAAAAATGAGTATTTTTGCAATAACTCAGGAATGGTTCGGCCAATTCTACCCATCTTCGAACTCGACCGAGACATTGTTAAGACTGAACTGTGTAGGAAATTTCATCGCAATCGGACTCTCCTTTCAAAAGTTATCGTGTAAACGGACGGATACACTGATCGATTCTAGAGTGTACTCACTTTTTGAGCACACAAAAATCAGGCATGAGAATAATTAGTTTGAAAGACATACGTGAGTTTCACATTTTAGCTCCTTTGGAGCTGCGCTAACAAGCTTGCTTCGAGACGTATGTCAACGTCTCTTGTTACAGATAAATCCTTTGTTTGTAGATATATCAAAATGAATCCATGAGCAGGATGTTAACGACTAGTAGGTAGTGACCTGTTGCTCATGAGATATTTCTTAGATATAAATGTAAAATTAATGAATCGAGGCAGAAATCCTAATTTTTTCTGATCCTTTAAACATGCACGGTGAACAATTAATACTAGATTTTCAACAATAAATATTATTTGAAAAAACTAATAAATTAGTTATAATCAAATGGTATGACAACATCGGTGACATCACACACATTGGCGACTTAGTTGACGATAGTTCTCAAAATGAATAGAATGAGTTTCAGTCGAAGGTCAAGGGAGTTGTAGCGACGAGTATTATCTTGTTCATATGAGACAAGAATTGAGTTTCACTGTACACACATGCGAAAGAGATTGGTGAATTTTTTCATATCGATTTTAGTGACAATTTCTACGTTAGGCTCACGCCTAAAATGACCATACCAATCTGCGATCATATGTCCACTTGCCACTATGCCGATTGGTTCAACACAGGCATAAATTTGACGTCGTTCGATCATCACCGAATCATCCAACACACAAGCCATACATACTGAATCACATGAAACTAGTCCTTCACCAAATAGTTCGCTTTCATTTTTGCAAACGTCAACAAGAAATTGCGAAACATCATTAAAAAGACGAGCTTTTTCTGATTTGTCCGTTTTTGAAAACATCTCTTCATCGAGAAAGTGAAATGAGAAGGGTGCTGCAACGGCTAATTCGAATGGAACAAGAATGGGTGTCGTATGAAATTCTTCGAGAACGATCGCAGCAGCCAACGGATCACATTTAAAATTGAATTCAAAACCGACTAGCAAGTTAAAATAGCATATATCTGTTATTTTTTCGTTTACTTAAACTTACTTGATAATGCGTCAAGATGCGGCATTGTGCAATTACCACCCATGATAAATAACCGTTTGATATTTCGACTAAAATCTGGATCAAGCCGATGTGCAAGAAAAATATTAGTCAAAGGACCAATGGCTGCTACGACGAGTTCACCACGATTCTCACGAGCCAAACGTACAAGAGCTACAGACGCTGGTTCATCACTTAATAAATCCAATTTGATATCCTTATCAAGTGTAGCATTTCCAAATCCATCGTCGCCATGAATATGCGGTGCATACTTTTGAAGACCATCCAGAGCTCGGTCCACTCCACGAAACACTGGTATATCATCGCGTTTGAATGTATGTAGAAGATAATGAGCATTACGAATAGCTTGATCAAGTGATGTGTTGCCTGTGACGATGGTAAGACCTAGTATTTGCACATGCGAAGACGAAAGAGCCATCATAATAGCATGACAATCATCAATACCAGGATCTGTATCGATAACTAATTTTATCAGAGCATTAATCGGCAACGTAGTCATTATTATCGAAAAAATCTGAAAAGACGATCTTTGTATAAAACTATTTGAAGTTTCACAAGATTTCTGAAAATCAGGACGGGAAGAGAGGGCATATAAGAACGCAAATCAACCCATCTCTAGATTCTCAAAAGACATGTATCAATCGATGTAGAATTTAACAGCGAATGTTTTAATGATAAACTCAGCATCTTTTGGAAAGCATTGAATGGTTTTCGACGCATATTACTAGGCAATATATTTTTACCGAATCTATTAGCTAGTATTTTAACAAGTGCTTACTCAAAACATTTGCTTATCTAACTTCAGGTAGTCTCATTTGAAAGGACAAGAAAATCTGTACGAATTCATATATAAACTATTTAAGAAATCGTAATTATAGACTATAATTATATCGTAAAAATAGTATTACTATCGCTAATTTGAGGCATTTCATGAACTTTTACATATTAAGGTTAATTTAATCATTATGTAGACCATAGAAAAAGATCGAAAAATTGAGTGAGAAACAGCATTTTTCACGACTTTTGGACAAAATATTTGAAAAAATTTTATCCATTAAAAATATTTTATTTTAGGTTAATCTTTTAACTCTTTTGTTGCTCTATCTGATACATGATCTAAATTTCTGGAATAAGCCAACCTTTAGAGTTTTTTCCTTCTCAAAATACTGACTTTTGGTTTACTGCTACGCTTCAATATTTTCATGAGAAGTCTTATCTAAGTATTTATTTTAATTCTGTACCTAATTTTCTAGAGCGTTTGATGTGCTATCGGATTGTGTGCAATTCTTGGAAAAAGTTTATATTTTGACGGAGATATGAGGATCACACTAAAAGTGGCGGCTCTAAATAAATCAATGAGAACTCGTCAGTGTAGTCCTTATAACTATCTTATTAAATGATCAATGAAGCTTATTTTTTGAGTTTAGCAGCTTCGTCTCATGGGATATTGAGTCGACTAACAAAATGAGGGAATGAAAATATTTCGGAGAATGGGGTTTCTCGATCCTATTACCGATCCTCTCTGAATTCAGATTCAGACACTGACCTTCGTCTAAATTTTTTTCTTGAAGTACTGCTTACGAAATGTAATCAAGATGGCTTAGATCTCTTCATAGTCAAAATTGTAGCCCTCAAACACGATACGGTCACGAAATATGAATATGCACAAAATGGCAAAAATGAAAATTTTGTTACCTACTTTGCAGTATTGGTCAAGTCATCAATAGACCATCTGTTTGAATTCATTTTTTATGGAAAGCAGTCGAGCCTAAGATATATTCACAGTAAAAATTTCAAATCAAACGGATCTATTCTAGAGAAGATAGGTAATACCGCGAACAACGTCCAAAAATCGCCAAAAATGCATTTTTTTGAAGATTATGATCTCAGACAAGTTTAAATATCTAGGCGATGGAGTAATATTTCTGTTAAACACACTAAGTTAAAATGTGTCGGATGTATCGTGATTTACGACACAATGCATGACACATTAAAGGACGACACGAGGTGCTCGTTGCGACACAATTTCGCCAGCAAGACCACGACACATTTCTTACGACTCATCCGACACATTTTTCATTGGTTCTTCTGGCAAAGCATATTTCGATTTTTTTTTCAATTTATTTATTCATATTCTGAATAATTCAGACAGGTCATATCCTGAGATCTGGGCGATCTCCAGTCGGTGCGATTTATATGAGACCATTTCAGGGTAGTCCTCTCTCGATCGTGGATCGAAATTGACATTTTCTCGATTAAAAATGATCGAGAAATAATCTAGAAAAGAAGAATGTTTTGAAAACTTATCTTTCATACGTTCAACCGCGTTGTTTATTTATCATTATGTGTGCAGAACAGAACGGTGAATGAATAGTCGACAGACAGAACGCGACAAATTCATATACGACACATACAAGGTACGACACTTTTTCGTGCTGGAGCGCACAACACAATAAATCACGACACATAAACACGACGCATTTAAATTTAATGTAAACGGCTAGCATAGGAATTCATCAACCATTTACCCCTATAACATATATAAAAACCAGCTAAATCGGTGATCATCGATTGAGCAGCCTCGACTACGTCGCGTGTCGCTTCTGTAAAATGGCTTATGTACACGTCAGAAAAGTTAAAACCAGATTCAATAATTCCTGTCCCGATTCGCTTGCATGTCTGTGCTATAGTTCTGAAGCGTTATCCTGGATGCCGAATTTTATACTGATTCCAATGGAACCATTTTCAACAGCGAATGTCTTCCAAAAACTAGAATTTTCTGGTAAAAACGCCTTTCAGATGAGATTTTCCGCAGTAGACCTGCTTTTTGGCGGACAGCCGCCCTTGAAAGTAGCACCATTGGATTCAACATATAATTTCACATCCGACACAACCATTGACAACCGTAGCTTAGATATGCAATCGACTTAATACAATGTTTGCTACCAAAAATCGGTTCCGAGGGGTGTTTGTACCTGGGAACTGCCAGTTTTTGGCAGATAACCCCTCTTGAAAATGACACCATCAGATTCAGCATAACATTCTGCGTCCATTACAGCTCTCCAGAACTATAGCACAGACATGGAATCGAATTGGGACCATGCTTACTGTCAGAAACCTGGTCATCAAAGGTGTTGTTTTCCAGGAAATTCCGGTTTTTAGCAGATAACCCCCCCCCCCCCTCGCCAATGGTACCATTGGCCTTAGCATAGAATTATGCATCGAACACAACGCTTGAGAACTATGGCACAGATACGTGAACGAATCGGGACAGAAATTATGGAATATGAGGCTAACTTTCCTGACGTCTTACGTACTACGAAAAAAATAGTTACTGACAGTATTTTTAGTATATTATTACTATAAAAAGTTATTCTTTTAAAAATACTTACATATTCTGAAAGCCAATGGAGTTTTCTATCAGCCTTCATAATTAAGTTTTAGTTTAGGGCTATGTATTACGAAAATAAGTTGAGCGCAACGACGACATTCTCATTTCTAGATTTTCATAAATTTGATAGTGTCACTGTCGTCATAATTAATTTTTGAAAATTTTCAGCACTATAGAGTCACCTTTTGAGAAAGGTAATTATGTATTCTAATAGAGCTTGAAATTCTCTATCACTCTGTATATTGTTTCTTATATTCATCTATTGAAAAAAAACTTGAGTAATGTGCGGCTAATGCAAAGTTCGAGCACTTTTTATTTTTGGCTTAAATAGACATTTCTAGACTGCGTATGACTCTATATAGTTGGTGACACTAGTTCCGAGTATGCTATCTATTTCGCTATTTTACTGAGCCATAATAATATAAGTAGCTAAATACGAGCACACTTTTCGTGCTTTTTTCTTATTTTGCCATGAAATCATGTTTTTAAAATTTGATGTACCCTCTCAAAAGGGTTTAAGAGAGTGCAACGGATAACGTACTCATTAACCATTTTTGAATCGTATAAACGTTTCGATAAACCTTTTCACAAGAATATTTTAACTTCATGAACCGTTTTTATTCACTACTTTTAGGAGTAGATAAAAGGGCTTAGCACATTTTGATAAATGGTAGAAAAAGGTATGTTATCTGTCACATTTCGGTAAATGGTCACAAGATGTTTCATTTTGCAGACTATTCTGGTGTGGGAGACACGCATTTCCAAAGGAGATCCTACATCTCTAGTGGTGATTGACCGCATCTCGACAATCTTGGATATGTGACACCACTCAGCCATAGCATGAGCTTGTGTTGGCCAATCATATGTTTTGTTAAAGCTGTCTCTTATTGAGCAAACACAACCTTATGTTTATCCCTAACTTTAAAAGAAACAGATTTGCTGCAATCTGATTAGTCGATCAAATTTCACGGCGAGTTTTTTCTACTATTATCAGGCCATAGCATGACCTTGTTTTAGCCAAGCAGGAGGTTCATCAAGGCTCCTTTTCTTTTGGCTAACGAGGGAGGTACCCGAAGTGATTAATCGGTTTTGAGTTCGAACTCTGTGCATAAGGTAGATCCCAGTAAGATATGAAAAACCCCAAAAAGATAAGGGCCCATAGGCCTTTCGTTCAGAGT